TCTGACCATCTCACCATTGATCTGTGAGTAAATAGATTTGGGTATCTCGTCATTGAGCGGCCCAAATAATACCGATCCGAGCTTTGCTGGTTGTGGCTCAGGATGCTTCTGTTTTAATTGCGTCATTACATCGTCAGTTAACGTTAACACGCCGCCATTTGAGGTTTCACTCAGGAAGCGAAGGGCTGAGTTGATTTGACCTTCTAGCACGAGCTTAGCAAAGACTTTAGCTTTATCGGCGTGGTTTGATCCTTTAAATTTTCCAATACGACTTTGTATGATTCGTCCCTCACGTATTAGCTTACTGATCTCACCGTCCTTCCAAAGTGCAAGTCGCTTTGACAAGGCATCTTGATGGTCCTTTGCCTTGGACTTCGGGTTTGGCTTTTGAAGCCCAACGGCGAGAAGTACAAAAACAGCTTTTAGGGAAACATGTTGATTTTCCGAACCGCCATTCCAGTCGTTTATATGCATCGTTATTTGATCGATAAAATCCCTTCCTATTTTCCCGTATGGCACTAGAGAAACATTCTTTTTCCAAGTTGTAATTTCATCATATGCATCTGTAATGTCTGAAGTCGGTATAACTATTGTTCGTCCATCGCCTCGCTTCCCCCAATTAATCATAGGTGGTTTATTTACATTATTATACTCCGGAAGACAGCCCGAGATAATTGCATTGTCTTCGTTCTGGTCGAGTGCCCCCGGAATTTCATGTTGACTATTATGGCGGGTTGTTGTTTGCAATTCATTCGTTTGATTTGTATACTGCGATTCATTAATCAAGGCGGTATCTTTCGCCGACATATCGAAACCGTTTGAGCCCTCTCCCGTTTGCGAATCCCGTATTAAGTTGTCCTTATTCAACTCCGGTAAATTGTTTGGTTTATAGCAACAGAATCTCTTGATACGTTTCTCGAGTCCCCCAGCTCCAAAGATTTCTCCAGCCTTGCAGCTTGATCACGCAAATTCTGGGTTGAGAAGCCAAGATCATTATATCCTTTCGCATCCCATAGCTCCTTCATGAGTTTAATATAGCCTTTTTTCTTGCTATTTCCATCCAACGGTGGTTGTTCCATTTGTGTCATTGCCACAGCCTCGCGTTTGCAACTCAAAAGATCCTCGTTCATTTGATCTGTCCATTTACGCCTATGTTTATATTGCCTTCGATTAGCCATATTGACTTGCTATCGCTGACATAGAGTTTCACAAAATCGTTTAAACTATTGCCTTTCTGAGTTCATCTGTTCGAATTTGTCTCGTTTACACAGCAAACTAGATTTTGTGCAGGAATTTCAATAACAACAAAATAGTATCAAGTCGTACTTTCGTTTATAAAACACAGATGTTTCTTCCTGATGTGTAACATGTAATAATAATAATAATAATAATAATAATAATATATATTTTTCTTTTTAATAATAATAATAATAATAATAATAATATTGATTATTATATAATAATAATAATAATATTATTGATAAAACTATATTACAGGTATAAAACTAAGATAATAATAATAATAATAACAACAATAATAGCAATAATAATAATAATAATAATAATAATAATAATAATAATAAAATTTTATTAATAATTTATTTATAAAATAATCCTACTACATTAAAACCCCCCCAAAAAAACCAAAAAACAACAAAAAAACCCAAACAAAACAAAAAAACCCAAAACTAATTACTAGTATATACAAGGAAGTGAGTCTAAATTGTTGTAGTATGTTATAGTATATGTTATAGTAAGAATTTATGGTAAAAGTCTAAACCTAAATTTTGGCACGAGAATTGTGTACTTCGAAGTCCGTTTCTTGAACGTTCGTTGTTATCCTCCTGGGTAATAATAATAATAATAATAATAATAATAATAATAATAATAATAATAGTAATAATAGTAATAATAATAATAATAATAATAATAATAATAATAATAATAATAATAATAATAATAATAATAATAATAATAATAATAATAATAATAATAATAACAATAATAACAATAATAATAATAACAATAATAATAATAATAATAATAATGGGGTGGGACAGGCTGGAGCCTTAGCCTACCACGGGAATATGGACGCTCCCGCCCACCAGAGTCTGGGGTAGCACCTTCAGCAAGTGCTAATAACCCGTAGGGAGCTGCCCTTGCCAGGGAGAAGGCATCGAAACCCAATATATGGTGTAGATACGTGCTGATGGGTGAGTGGCATCTCCGTTAAGATGCAGCTTTCCCAGCAGTGCCGTGCAACTCTGGGCGGTCTGTTGTTCCTGTGCATACTGATTATGGCTTTGGTAGCAATCATGGAAAATACAAATATACAAACTAACTGCACAGAAGGGGCTGAGGGCAACGCTGAAGGCCCTGTCCACACGACAGAAAGACGAGAATGGACAAAGGAGTTCAACAAACTCCTTATCGAATGTCACCTACGGGGTGGACCAACGAAACGAGGTCAGAAAGAGAATGCTGGCTATTTGGAATGATAGAGGACTGTTTAGTGCCACGGAACAACAGCTAGCTGAGCAAATAAGATGTATCAAGAACCGAGGGTGGTTATCTTCTATGTAAATTGAGGAAATACAGCATGCAATTGATAAAGAAAGTCAAAACAAAGCAGAATAATTAACAATTTATCTGAATTGTTGCTATAGGTTAATGCAGATAATTCGCTTGGTAATGGCTTTACAACTGCATGCTTGTGCTAAAAACATGTCATGTCTTTGTTTTTATGGATTCGAGTACTGTATAGTACTCCTCGCCGCTTTGAGAAACTAAGCCAGCGTGTTAACTTAGTCAACTTAAGTCTTAACGCTTATAATTAATCGTTATAATTAGTCGTCCACATTCTTGAGAAGCTTTAGACTATTGTGATTGTGTTCACAACGAACAATAGAAAAGACAATGTCTGTCTTATCATTTGCGTTTGCTGATATATTTGCTGAATATTAATGATATGTATATATTAATTGCTACGAATACAGTAAAAAATTGCTCATATTTCGCTTCTAAAGTCAAAAATGAAAAATCGATCACCGTCAATCGATGCGGAATATTGCTTAGAATAATTTTGTCAAGTTTCATTCCGATCGGACAAGTAATGACGGAGCCTCAGGTTTTTTTTCAAAGAGCGTCGCCCCCTGACGACGACGACGACGACGACGACGACGGCGACGGCGGCGGCGGCGGCGGCGGCAGTAATTTATTACTACAAATTATACATTAGAATCATGTACTGCATTTAACGATCCGTCTCTTTCAAACTTTATGTTTTCAGAATCAGTTAAGTTTATATACTCTAGTATATTGCTAGTTGATGAAGCCATATTTTAGTACTTATTCAACTTATTTTGAGGAAGGTTTGAAAACTTTAAATTTTACCCGGAGGAAATTTAAACAGGTTTTGCAACTTTGTATACTGCCTACACTTACATCTATTGTTAATTCCTCACTAGCTACTTCTACTTTTCCCACTGTTTGGAAAATAGCAGAAGTAACACTCATTCCTAAAGATGGAGATCATGAACAAGCGATCAATAATATACCTATTTCATTATTACCTTGTATTGTCGAAAGTCTGCGAACGAGCTGCCTATAATCAACTTACTTCCTATTTATTAGAAAAGGAAAGATTAACGCAACACCAGAGTGGAAATAAGAAATGGCACGCCACCGAAACTTCTGTTATTCAAACTACAGATGCCATCCTCAATGCCATAGACAAAAAGAAGCTTACTGCTACTGTCTTTTTGGACATGAGCAAGGCGTTCGACAGCATTGATCATGAATTATTAATATCTAAATTGGAAGATGTTGGAGTCTCCAATATGACACTTCTTTGGTTTCGGAGTTATCTTTCAAACAGAAAACAAAGTTGTAGAGATCCACTCAACTAAATCAGAACTTCTTCCTGTGGTCAGTGGTGTACTCCAGGGAAGCTTTCCCAGCCCTCTTTTGTTTAGCATATATGTTAATGGTATGCCATCCGTTCCAGAGAAATGTAAATCTAACAGTCATGTGGACGACACAAAACTTAGCGTTTCCTTCCATCTACAAAACAAGCAAGGTGCCATTGAAGATATGAATGAGGACCTTTTGAAAGTGCGAAACTGGTGTTTCAACAACCTTCTCTTATTAAATCCAAAAAAAACAAAGCTCATTGTTTTCGGAAGTAGACACAAATTATCGAACCTAAATGAGTTTAGCCTGTCTCTACTTGGGAAAAATATATTCCCATCCGAAACAGTGAAAGATCTAGGAGTTACTCTTGACCCTCTCCTTTCTTATGACGAACACATAACTAAGACCATCTCTTCATGTATGTCCCGCCTCGGTCAAATAAATCGTGTTAAGCATGTACTGGACAGGCAAACACTTATCACTGTAATAAACGCTCTTGTCTTCAGCAAGTTATTTTACTGTTCGAATGTTTGGCCAATACAACTGGCAGAAACATTAACAAATTACAATCTGTACAGAACTTTGCCTGTCGTATCGTTAGCGGAGCACGAAAGTATGATCATGTTACACCACTTTTAAAAGAATTAAGATGGCTTCCTGTGGCAACTCAATTGTACTATCGTAGCGCCACTATGGCTTTTAAGTGCATGACGGGTTGTGTCGCAGTTTATATTTCATCCCAATTTATAAAGCGTCAGGAAGTATCTAACCATCATACTAGGAATTCACAACAACTTAATATTCCGTTATTTAAAACGGCAACAGGTCAACGGACATTTTATTACAAGATTGTTAGTCTATGGAATTCTTTAGACTCTTCTTTAAAACTTTGTGAATCAGTTGATTCTTTTAAACGTCGTTTAAAGACGAAGTTATTGCACGAGTTTTTGAGCAACTAGGTTCTTACTCTATATTATAGGCTTGTAATTGTATTATTAATATTATATAGTTATTATAAATTAGTTATTCTGCATGTAATTAGGTAATTGTCTTTGAAAAGCCTCTACGGGGAAAGATAATAAAGTATCAATCAATCAATCAATCAATTATCCAGAAAACTATAATACAACGTATAATCGGTAATTTTATTATCGTAAAATGGATGCCATTTTGAAGCTGCTTTGTATATGGTATTGTCCTCTCTGTCATGTATCTGAATGCACAGTAACTATACTAATATACTTACATTTAGTTTCTCTTTAGTGGTCGGTGATTGCTCATCTTCCTCTTTCTGCATCTGCTCACTCTTACCAAGTGCAGTCAATCGTTTTCCTTCATTTTCCACAGCATCAATAATTTCTTTATCATGGTCTTTTCCAAATTGAGTGAGCTTTTTGTAGAAATAAGAATGTGATGGCATCAACCTCAGAGACTGCATACGTTGCATTATAACCTGCAAATAGACAAAATGATTGTACTGTACTATATAGTATATATAGAGCTATTTCAGTTAAGGTTGTCATAGCCAATTGTACACTCCGAGCCAAACGGCAAGATGGATATATCAAATTTTAATATTTTTATCTGTTTAGATAGCCTATGACCATACCTCCTGTCCTTTTTGTTTTGGCTGTTCCCATGGGTGTGCTGTACATAATTTATAACACATTTGACCATATAACATATCTTAATATGTACATTGGACTATTTCTTGTGACAACATTAAATGAAATAGTTGTATTATATATATATATATATATATATATATATATATATATATATATATATATATAAAGTTGCTTGGGCAAAATGTTTGTATATATTTATCATTTGTATGTGTACTATTAGTATACAACATGCATTCTAATTGTATAACCCGTTACAGTTACATATGTTAGAATGTGCTGCACACAACCCCTGGTTAATTACCTGCTGTGCATTCTAGTGTTATGTTACATACTGTATACAAAGTCTTCAGCTTGTCATACACATATGTACAGTTTTTTTCACAACACGAACACAAATGTGGTAAATACAGTAGTTGAAAATGATCCGAGTCTATAACGTATATTATGTTGTAATATATTACTATACCATTAATCCAGAATGACGATTCATAATAGCTATCATTAATTGAAGTGCGATCATATCCCTTGACCTGTTGCGTAAACAAACGGCTGCAGCTACACCAATTGATTGCTTCCATTTCTCTTCATCATCCTTTATTTAAGAGCAGCAGTCTTAAGCACCAACAGATACAAAGGGGCTCTTTCTTGTAATTCCTGAATCAAATTGTCAAAAGAAAAGTTGATGATGCTTTCTTTATCAGTTCTTCCCAGACAGCTATCTTTTCTTTTCTTCTTCTCTTTGTTCAAGCCTTTTACACACATGGCCACACATACTTTATGAATTTGTTTCACAACTTCTTCATAGATGTGTTTCCGTATTTCATTACACTGTCAAGTAGCTCTGGCTATTTGTTTCTTCGTACCACGACATAACATTTTCCCAATTGCGCTCAATACGGGCGGTAAGATCTTTGTCTTAGTTCTTTCAGCCCACTTGATTGAAACAGTTACAGGACATTCACTTGGCATAAGCTTTGATTTTGGTACATTGACTTTTTCATTAATTGGTGACAATGTAAAATCAGGATTTAAGACAGGTCCCTTACTTACTGGTGTTGATACAAATGTATGTGCCAGTAGTTGGTTTTTCCTTTTTGACTCAATTGGGCTAAAAAGAATAATAAAAAATAAATCATGAATCAATTAACACACCAGTACATTTCCAATCAAAATATTAAGAACAATACTATAAATTGATATTGGAAGTTTTGAAACAAGAGACAAAAAAAGTAACTGATATCATAACAAATTTATTATAGAACAACATCTCAAGTCATCTTGACCTCATTTTCAATTTCATGTGGAGAGTTAAACACACTGTGACAAAGCACAATATAACAGTGCAGGTTGTACCTTGATGGGTTAACAAAAGAGATTTGAAGATAGTTTTGTTAATAGTGTTACCTTGACAAGTAGAATCATCTGACATCAGACAGAGTAAAATAACAAACTAAGGTGTACCAAACACGCCTCAATGGGTTAAATTACTGAGGCAAAATATAGGTATATACTGTGTGGTACGTTACAGACAATGTAACACATAGCTTTTAGCTTGAAAAATTTGGAAAATCGTTCGAGCTTATAACACATTCAAACAGTTTTGAGTAATTGTAAATGCGAATACGCTAGCACTGTCAGTTCTATATGAGGTACAGTATGTTTAACACCAAAGTAGTAATTTAGTAAGATTCTTTAACAACCTAAAGTAATGCACCCTATTGTACTTCATCGTTTTATCCGTCTAATGACAATATCTTTTACTTGTATAAAAGGAAATACTCCTTTGCCTTTATGGTTAACAATATCATATGTCAATGTCTCTTGTTATAATTAACCAATTAAGTTTCAATGAATCTTACAGTACTTCATTCTTTCACTCTGTCTAACACCTGATGATTTTACTCATCAAGGAAGGAGTCTTGCACCTTAATGGCAATTATTTTTCAGGATCAAGTCAGTTTATATCTTTGATGTACCTACCATTAGGCCATGGGAATGAAAGTCATAGATTTACGTCCAGGTAATTTTGAAAAAGCATGCAGTTTTTTTTCATTATTCATTATTCACTATTTTTTACCATTATTTTGGGTGGTAAATACAGAGATAAAAAAACGAATTACCGTTCATGCCATGGAATAAACATGAGCTCAACGAAATCTTTAGTGGGGACCAAAAGATTGACGTAAGCGCTTTGTTTAAGAGAGCCCTGAAACTAAGACTGTATTCAGAGCACTCTTGGTCAGGTGTGCAACACACATCAATCTACATGTGTCAAGATAATCTGTTAGTTTTTTCTGTAGCACTACTAGTACTATGTTGCAGGTAAAACACAAAGAATGTGGGAGATTCATTCAAATTGTCGTCATGTGGGAGGGAAATGATTAATGACTCCAAAATGCAGGACTTGGTAGGTCTAAAAATAGTATATTTACCCCCAAAATATCAACTCAATGACTATTAAATAAGCCCTTGAGGCACCTAAGAAGAGTGCATCAGTGCAATTATGAATGCAATCTAACATCAACATATAAGACCGTATAATAACACTATAAATAATAATGAATAAGCTTAAAAGCATATATGTAACTAGAATGCACGGACATTAGACAGTTTTACAAAAAAATACCTTGAGATATATTGGTTCTTATGCAAATCTTGCAGTATTTCTTGATGAATTTCATCATCTTGAACTTGAATGCCACGCCTGGCCTCCTTATCGATATCGTCTGTGTTGTTTAGAAACCTTAACTTTCTGGGTACTACTGATCCAGTATCCCTTCGTTTCATCGAGAAACCATATTCCTCACATTTCTGGCGATACAATAACGTCAACTGTTCATTGGTCTTATATAAATTTTTCTTCAAATTTTTACGTTTTTTCAATGCAGCCAGACATTTTTTGCGTATGTATGGCGACGAACGGTACACAACAAACGGCAAATCTTCCAGTTCAGCATTTACGTTACATTCCCCATTAACCAAATTTAAATCTGTTGCCTTTAACAACAGCTCGAAGCATAAAACACAAATGCTGGTCGACACTCCTTCTCTTGCCGCCATATTTGTTTAATTTGTTTTTGGAGCGGCTGCATATTTAGCGTATTAATTTTCTTACATAAATTATTTTCCCAAAAATCTGGAAAACGTGCTGAGGGGGCGTAACAAGCTTTCGTTCGAAGTTGCGCAGTCCGTACTTCCTCTGGTCTCTGGGACTGCACGCAGGCTAAGTTTTAGTCAATTAACTAACCTTTACTGTACAAATCCCAGGAGCTCCATTTCGCGGAGTTAACCATGTCAAACATAGTATTGAGACTGGTGATGCTAAACCACAATACTCAACGCCATATTCCCACTCTCCTGTTCAATTACATGTACAGCTTATCAAACTAGAAAATACATGCATGCAGAGACCCTCGCCTTGCTGACAAAAACATTGTATTTTCCAAACATGAAGTATCTAAAGATGTTGTCATGGTAAAACGATAATTTTTTTCAGAATATTCTTACAAATGAAAAATCGCATAAATTATCACTTTTAATTACAAAATTACCAATTTTCCAAACATATTTTTGTTAGGTATGTTATTATACCTAATATAAGCTCAATTTAAGGTAAAATTCAACCAGAAACGCTTCGCAAAACGTTTTAAAGTGTTCTTTATAACACTAAACCGCTCTTGGCTTTATCGATAAACTTTAAGTTTGCAATAAAATGATTTAAAATTCTCACTTATTTAAAAAATTCAATATCATAAAAAAGGGAATCAATATTAAAGATACACTGAAATTATATGCTGTCTTGTTTAGTTGTTTCATATACGCAAAGCCAAAGGCCGTAGGGTTTTTTTAAAGCCATTATAAAACCAACATTTAAAACAAACTCACCTTCGTTAACGTCGACTCCGTTCTTTTAACCGATTCTTTCGCAGTTTCTTTCCGAGAGAGCTTTTGAAATTTACAAAATCTTGCAAAAATGCGAGCAAAAATGAAATATATTTGCAAGAAATTCATCAATCATCAAATCACAGAATGGGAGGGTACATATCTTATTCTGTGATCAAATCAAGAAATGTTTGCTATTTCGCTGTCGTCATGCAGTAGTTATAATGCAAACATTAAATTGGACCAATCAGTGTCCGCTATTCATGACAGTTCGCCATATTTTTGAGATCAGTGAGGATGACCACCCACCCCAACCTCGTTGCTCACCTACGCCCGCGATAATTGATGAACTTTAGACTTCGCTAATGCTTTCGTTTCCCCGGGTGTCATGGAATGAACACGTGGATTTAATAGCAAAGAAAGTTATTAAATCTGCTGGAGTAATAGCAAAAATAAGACATTTTCAAATTTAAATGCTCTTAAGCTTATTTACTATGCTTTAGTCTATCCATATCTTATCTATGGAAATATAATCTGGGGTAATACCTACAAAAAAAGAATCCAAAAACTTATGAATGTTCAAAAAAAAATTGTGCGCCTTATGACTTTCAACTCTTATTTGGCACATAGCGAACCAATCTTTAAAGACTTAAAAATTCTAGATATTTATAAAATTAATGATTACACCAAAAATCTACCAGAGGTATTCACTGATTACTTTGTGACCAATGATCAAATCCACCAACACAATACAAGAAATAAAACACAACTCCACAAGTCATACAAAAGAACGAACTATGTAAAACATACTCTTTCAAATAAAGGAGTCGATGTTTGGAATGGACTTGAATGTCATTTTAAAAATATCACTTCTCGTAATACTTTCAAAAATACTATAAAAGAACACTTCCTTCAAATTTCAAGTAATTAATCAAATTATATGTACAATGTAACACTTTATGCTGTAAATAGCTTTCACATTTTCTCTCTTTCTTTTCTTTTAACTATAATACTTATTGTAATATATTTTAAATTTGGTTGGCTGTATAGTCTGTAGTTAGAACTAGAATCTAAATTTTATATCAATAGGGGTCTTAAATAAAACCTGTTAAGGTTTCTGGTAGGCCCCTACCATAACATTAATCTAATTTTTTTTTTAATGTAAATATCTATATGTTATAATATATGGCCAATAAAAGGGAAAAAAAAATTAGTACCCTCGCACGGCGCTTCGTGCCGTTGGCTTGGGGACGAGAAATTCAAAAAATGGTTGAACAAAACATTTTAGAACCATCAACATCTCCCTGGGGTGCTCCTTGTTTATTGGTTACTAGAAATACATGCATGCAATACCCCTCGCCTGTTTTCAAAAGATGTATACTCAGTGCCGTTGCGAGCACTTCGTCTCCGGGTATGTGTGAAGTTAGATAACGGGGGGGGGG